AATGCTGGCCGGTGAGAAATGCAGACAGAAGAGCGTGCAGAGGCCATGCGGAGTGCGGAGTGTGGCCTGAGCTCTGGCTCGCTGTTCTCAAGGAGCTGCTGGCAACGCACAGGCATCTCTGGGAGGGGCGGCAGGACGGCACCGCCTGGGGAGACAGGGATGAGAGGGCGGTTTGTACACACCTTCCATGCAGTTTGCAGTTTGTAACCACAAGCCTGCACCACCTGTTCACACAAATCCATCACTTGTAAAGACTGATGACTCACCTGCCAGCGTCTCCCACCGGACCCTGAACCCCCTGAGGACAGGAACCCCGTCGGAGCCGCTGCTAAACTCCCAGTGCCCAGCCCGGCCGGGCACACAGATGTACGGGCCAATGTTGGCTGACAGGGAAGCCGGATGGGATCCCATGTGGCCCCCTGCCAGGACCCCTCTCTCCAGTCACAGTTCCCAGGAGACTCCCACAGATGGGGTGGGGCATGTGGGGCAGCCTGGAGAAGGTCTGGCCGGGGCAGGAGGCAGGCCTAGAGAGCTATTTCCCAAGCAGGACCCAGGTGCTCAGGTGCGTCCAGGCCTCCGGGCGTCTAAGGAGCCTTCAATCAAGAGCTAGACCCTCGGGCCACAGCGGACGCCCCTCTCTTTGCAGGTGCTCACGTCCCATCTGCCTATGGGACTGCACAGGGGACCAGGAGGCATCACCGTGGCAACGGCCTTGGCAGTGTCGAGGGGCTAATTGGGTGGATTTTACGCCGCTGGTGGGCTGAGTGCCAGGCCTCTGGTGGGCATGGGCATCAAACTGATGCCAGGGCTGAGGAGCAAAGTGAGGCCCCCGGACCCAGGAAGGGACCTGCTGGGGCCCCCTCTGCCATTAGCCCCAGCTGGAGGCCAGCCTCCCCTGTAGCCCTCCCCCTTCTGCGCAGCAAAGCACCAGCTGCTCCACGGGAACCCCAGGAGAGAGGGCTGGGCTTTGCCTCTAACCAGAGCCTGGGGTGGAAAGAGCCCCTAAGCAGGAACGACTTGACTGTCCACCACCCACAGGGGAGGCGAGGAGCAGAGAAACACCCACAGTCACCGAGTGAGCAGCTTCAGCACAGACGTGACGAGGGGCAGAAACGCAACTCTCGGTGACATGGGGAGTCGCCTGCCACGCAGAACACACACAAAGCGACACTGAGGCCCTAACCGGTTTGGCTCAGTGGATAGAGCATCAGCCTGCGGACTGAAGGGTCCCAGGTTCGATTCCGGTCAAGGGCATGTACCGTGGTTGCGGGCACATCCCCAGTAGGGAGTGTGCAGGAGGCAACTGATGGATGTTTCTCTCTCATCGATGTTTCTAACTCTCTATCCCTCTCTCTTCCTCTCTGTAAAAAAAAAAAAAAAAAAAATCAATAAAACCTATTTTTTTAAATAAAAATAAAAAATAAACAAAACGCCCTGACCGGTTTGGCTCAATGGATGGAGCATCGGCCTGCGGACTGAAGGGTCCCAGGTTTGATTCCGGTCAAGGGCATGTACCTTGGTTGCAGGCACATCCCCAGTAGGGGGTGTGCAGGAGGCAGCTGATGGATGTTTCTCTCTCATCAATGTTTCTAACTCTCTATCCCTCTCCCTTCCTCTCTGTAAAAAATCAATAAAATATATTAAAAATAAATAAATAAATAAATAAATAAATAAACAAAACGACACTGAGCGTCCGTCTTCTGTGGACACATGATATGCATACAAAAATGGGGAAGGTCCAAAAGCTATGATGACACCCGGGAGGCAGAGGAGGGGAACAGAACGGGGTGGTAAGGGGCCCTGAGTTTCTTCCATTTTTAATATGGGCTCAGTTCCCAGTTACCCATGCTACCAAAATAATTCCAAAGGCCCCACTAATACCGAGGCCTGCCCCGCCCCCACACTGCCGGCCCATACTCGCTCTGCTGTCTCCATGGCACTCACACTCTCCCGGGTGAGTGACTCATTACAAGATCCACTGGTGTTGGGGGCGGGGGGCGGCAATGGGGGGATAAGGACACATATGTAATACCTTAATCAATAAAGTAAAAAAAATCTTGTAAGTGATAAAGTTCACCAGCTAAAAGCATTTGCAGGTCTTTGCCATTAGGAGAAGCTTACTAAACTCTAAAAAAAAAAAAAAAAAGATTCACTGGTGTTGTCTCCCTTCCTAGGTTGGGGGCCGGCAACCCCAGACCGAGAGGTGAATCCAGCCCACTGCCTGTTTTTGTATAGCTCAAGGGCTAAGGATGGCTTTGTGTTTGGTTTGGTTTTTTGTTTTTATTTTTGTTTTCTGTTGTTGTGGTTAATCCTCCCCCAAGGATATTTTTTCCATTGATTTTTAGAGAGAGTGGAAGGGAGGGAGTGGGGGAGAGAGAAACATCAACGTCAGAGAGACACATTCGTTGGTTGCCTCTTGCACGATCCCCGACCAGGGCCAGGGATTAAACCTGGGACCCTTAGGTGCCCTGGCCAACGCTCTAACCATTGAGCCACTGGTCAGGGCGGTTTTGTGCTTTTAACCATTGAAAATCAAGAGGTGTAATATTTTGTGACACGTGAAAATTCTATGGCATTCTAATTTTAGTGTCCAGAGAATTTTATTGGAACACTGCCACGCCCATTTGTCTTGAGAGTGGCTTTCTGCTGTAAAGGCAGAGCCGAGTGGCCCAAAAGCCTAAAATATTTACTCTTTGTCCTTTGCAGACAAAGGCTGCTGACCCCAGTCCGGACTGTGAGCACCCTGCGGTGGGTCTTCTTTTATTCTCTTGTGGATCCCAAGTGCCGACAGCAGTGTCTGGCACATAGTAGGTGCTCAGTAAGTCTGGCTGGAGGAGTGAATGGAAGGGTAGGTGGTGGAGCATGTTGCTTCAGCCTCCTAGGGAAAGTGAGCCCCACTCTGTCTGGCAGACACCACCACCTACGAGGGCCCGAAGGTGGGCTCATGTCTTCCTGAGCCCTGGGAGAGGCGGGGGAAGAGGGGGCAGTGTTGTTTGTCCCTGGAGTGGACAATGCAGAGGGTGGCAAGGCCAGGATTTGGCAATAGGATGGACCACCAGGTCACTGAAAAGGTGGAATAGCCTTAGTCACAGAGGCTCCCCTCAATGAACTCTGCACTCGCAGCCCCTGCCTGCCCTGGGATCCCGCAGCTGCGTGGGCTGAGCTTTTGTGCCCTCTGGTGGTCACTGGGAGTGGCTCCCCTAAGGCATGTGCTGCCTTAGCCTCACTGGCTTTCCTCTGGGAGGGGACCTTGGCCTGACCTCCCTAGGCCATCAGCAGATCCAAGGCTCGCCAGCCCGAGCTCTCTCTGTTCCTTCTGGTTCCCCTCTGGCCCTCCCTCTGAGGCAGCCAGGGTCACAGATGCCTTCCCGACCAGCTGGAAGCCCCTCCTCTGGTCAGGCTAGGCAGACCCGGGCTCCTGGGGCACCCCCAGGCTGCCAGACGACGGCCACCTCCGGTGTGCACCCCGCCCTGACGGAGGGTGGGAAGGTCACCTTGGTCCGCATGGCAGGATGGGCAGGGGGCAGCCTCACACGCTCCCTTGTTTTCTACACATCTGGGAAGGTCCCGCCTGAGTTAGCACTCCTCGGTGCGAGGGAAAGACCTGCTCTAAGTTCTACCGTGGGGGCAGGAACTTGTCTCTAACCAGCGTGATACGCCACCTAGCAGTGATCACGTGCTCGTCACCACGTACACATTGCACCACTAGCAGCTGCTCGGCTGCCTCTGCCAAGAGACTGTGAGCGGGGAAGGCAAGGCCAGTGCGACCTGCCTCAGCGACCTCAGCCTCCAGCTGGAGCCCACCTGAGTGGGTGGGTGTCCTGTGGCAGGACTGAGCTTTGGAGAACTCTGGGTCCCCAGCCAGGGTCATGCTCACTCCTACCAGTCTTTGCCCATTTCACCAGTCCTATTTCCAAATATAGCCCGTTTCCACCATCTCCCTGTCTGTGCCCTCTGTCCCTCACCCACTCCCACCTCTCCAGCACCCAGGCTTCCTCGTGCTGAGCCCACTCTGGCTTCAGGGCCTCCTGGGCAGCTGCTACTGAAACCTGGAACACTGTTCTTCTGGTGCTTCCCAGAGATGGCACCCTCTCCTCCAGCACCCCTTCAAAGGGGCCCCTTCCCCAAACACCCCAGCTGTCACTGTCTAGCCCAGTGATGGCGAACCTATGACACGCGTGTCAGAGGTGACACGTGAACTCATTTTTTTGGTTGATTTTTCTTTGTTAAATGGCATTTAAATATATAAAATAAATATCAAAAATATAAATCTTTGTTTTACTATGGTTGCAAATATCAAAAAATTTCTATATGTGACACGGCACCAGAGTTAAGTTAGGGTTTTTCAAAATGCTGACATGCCGAGCTCAAAAGGTTCGCCATCACTGGTCTAGCCCATCCCTCTTACTTTTCATGCATATATTATTTTTTAAATATATTTTTATTGATTTCAGAGAGGAAGGAAAAGGGAGAGATAGAAACATCAATGATGAGAGGGAATCATTGGTCGGCTGCCTCCTGCACGCCCCCTACCAGGGATCGAGCCCGCAATCTGGGCGTGCGCCCTTGACAGAGTGGAACCCGGGACCCTTTAGTCTACAGGCTGACGCTCTATCCACTGAGCCAAGCCAGCGAGGGCCATGCATGTGTTATTAACACAAATGCTCCCTTGCCCAGGACCCTGGTCTTCTTCCCCTACTTCCCCAGCACTTAGTGGAGTTTCGATCATGCTTGGGGAATGACACCTACTGTGCGTTATTAGTGGGCACTGAGTGTGCAGGCTTCCTCCTGCGATGTCAGATAGGCAGGACGCGACGGGGCAAAACTCCAGTGAGAAGGGTCAGCGCCGAGTGCCTCCTCCAGCTGTGCTGGCAGCTCCCTCCCCTCTCTGCGCTGGCTTCATCAGGAAGAGCATCTCCACCTCACACAGGGGTGGTGAGGTTTGGGGGGGGATTGAAAGTGAAAGCGTTTGAAATTAAAGACACAAGACAAACGCACAAGACTGTGAGTGAATTTATTGTAGCGTCTACCAACCGCCTGCAACTGGCGCCTGTCAGGGACCCAGGACACGATGCCGGGTGCATGCCCACCCCTGCTCACTTGGCAGCGACTCCCAGCACCCCTGAATGGCAGGGCACAGGGGCCAAAGCTGGCCCACACCTGCTGTTTGGCTCACAGGTTAATTTTTTTTTCACTAGTTGCCAAGAACTTAAAACCCAAAATATTTTTCATAAAAATCTGGACTTCTGGCTTCTCCAGATTACTAACACTAGACCTGCTTTCTCACTTTATAGCAATTAGCGGCAACTTCATGACAGCCACCAGCTTGAGGCGGGGATCTGCTTTGCCACAGGCCCCACCACACCCTATTGTCTCTCAGGCCAGTTGCCATCATCACCTTGATTGTACAAATACAGATGTGGGCAGAAGTAGGTTTACAGTTGTTCTTATGGAAAATAATACAATTAATAAATAATACAAAAATAAACTTTCGCACGCACAACTGTAAACCTGCTTTTGCCCACCCCTGTATGTATTTCTCTTGTCACAAAGCGATGTTTCTCTGTGTCCCGTCTTCAGTAACAATGGGAAAGTGAGCAGCACGGCAAAGGCCTCGCTACTCAAAGGCCTCACTTCATCCGCCTATAGTATGACCTACCCGGCCCTCGGGACAGCTGAGTGTGAGATCTGGGAACCAGCCACAAAGAGCAGGCAGCCAGGGAGGGGTATGGCAGTCACTCCACACCCACCCCTTCGTGGGGCTGATAAGAGGCAGAGCTGAGAACAGCCAGACTTCCCAGTTCGCTCCTTTTGAAGTTTCCCAGTTCCCTGAACCCCCGGAGCACTAGTAAGCGGGAGGACTCACCAGGCACTTGGCTGTACTTGATGAGGTTGCCAGAGAAAAGCCAGGTGCAGAGAATGCTGTACTGGGGCGCCCTCTGGTGGCCATAAGCCAGCTCTACAGGCCACCAGGAAGATTTTGAACTTCATTCCAGATTGTGTGCCCAGGAGTCCCCCAACTAGGCTCCCCACCCCCAGCTCTGGGCTTCCGGCGACTTCCTTCCCAAAACCTTCCTGACCTCCATCCAACCCTCAACAACCTTCCTGGGCCCACTGGCACCCATTTCAGTCCCCGGCAGGGTCAGCCCCGCTTCCCTGGCCTCTTCAAGGCAGAGTCCAGCCTCCGTTCTTCACATCCCTGCGCTTCCCTCCAGGCTTGGCCACAGCAGTGCTGGCAGGGGTACCCCTACAGAGGTGGGAAGGCAACTCCCAGCCTACAGGGTCTGCAGGGCAGAGCCGAGTGAGCAGAATGGACCAGGCAGGGCCTCAGAGAATGGGGAGTGTTGCCCCAGGAGACGTTACCACTAAAGACTTGCTGCAGCCAGATGGCCTTCTTCCTAAGAAGCCGGGGGTCTGTGAAATACACTTTTATGTGAACGATACCAAGTTTTAAAGTTCAGCTCAAGTGTATGCATGACCCACGTCGGAGAAAACAGGGCAGGGTGGGTCCGGGCCAGGGCTCTGCAGCTGACAGAACCAGATGGTGGGCGTAAGCCAGTGGTTTTCAAGATTTTGTTTATTTAAGTAGTTTGCAGCCATCATCATGTTTGATCCTGAGAGGCAAGCAAGGGAGAGAAAATTCTTGGACTCACTTTAGAGTCCGAGACCTTGAGGCTCAAGTGGGATCCCGGAAGGGTCAAGGTCACAGCCAATAGAGAAGAGAGCTCTGGAGCTGCGTGGGGCCGTATCCCAGGCAACAGCAGGCCCCAGCGCCCGCCCCGCACCACCATGCAGAGAGGAGTGTCCCAGCCTGCGCCCTTCCTCGTCCCCCGGGGAGCCTGCCACGCAACAACGCAGAGGCAGCGGCTCCCTGTGCACACCCACACTGACACACACACCCTCCATGCACACAAGTCCAGAATGGGCAGAGTCATGCGGCTTCTCTGTGGGCACACAGCACGCCCACACACGAGCCCCACGTGGGGCTCAGGTCCAAGCAGAAATGCCCCCTGCAGCTGTGCCCATCACGGCGCAGTGGCAGGTCCCTGGGTAGCCAGGCGGGTGGCGTGGCCAACGTGGCAGCCTCACCAGTTGGCCTTCACTGCCTTGATGTCACTCACGAGGTTCTGGGCCAGGCAGATGCCGAAGATCTGTTCAGAGGGAGAGTGGGTGAGGGACAGGCCGTCGGCAGGGTGGGGGGCCCAGGGTAAAGGAGTGGGGCAGGATGAGAAGCCTCCAGAGTACCTGCAGGAGGGCGATGCCCACGAAGACCCCGGCCACGATGATCAGGTTGTCCTGCAGCCACTTCTCAAACTGGCCCACACAGCCTTTCGTGTGGATGGAGCCCTGCTGCTCCAGCTCCTGGGGGCACACAGGTGTGGGCTCAGTCCGCGCCCCCACGCCTCATCCCACCCCACCGCCCCGCCCCGGGCCTCAGGCCTCCGTGCCTGCCCCCTGGAGCTCTGCCACAGGCCTTGGCGTGGCTGGCTCCTTCTCATCATCGGGGTCTCAGCACAGACACCCACTCTTCTGAGAGGCATGTTCTGACTGCCCAGCCCCACTCCCATCACCTTATTTTATTTTCTTCCAAGCTCTTAGCTGAAATTGTCACATTACTGTTCACATTTCTGCATCAGTGAGCTTCCTGTCTCTCCCTCCCCTGCAGTGGGAGCTCCGTGAGAGCCGGACCCCATCTGTCTCAGGAGCATGCGTCCAGTGTCCAGGGCAAAACTCGGCACCAGTGGGCGCTCAAAGTTGGAATGAGCAAATGCGCCTGTGCCCGTGCCCGCAGGTCTACTGCTCCCATGTTCGGCAGCACCAAGGCCTGGATGGTTCTTAGGACTCAGCGCCCCTCCCCACAGATCCCTGAGGCCCTTCAGAGGAGCTTATGGGTGCCCCTTCCCATCCCCGTGCCCCAGCCCGGTCCCAGCCCGTCTCACCAGTTTGAGCCGGATATCGTAGCCACACTGGGTGTTGAGAACATCTTCCTGAGGAGAAAGAGGCCAATGAGCCATCTGTGAGGGGGCCCCCAGGCCCATGGCATCCAGCACTGCAACGGTTCTTGCTTCCAGGGGAAGCAGATGGACGTGGATTCGGCCGCATCCAGAGGCTCGCTGAGGCCCGTGTGCCTCTGCCCGACGCCAGGATGCACAGCTGCACCTGCCAGGTTGGGCTCTCTCCTGCTTAGGAACCCTGCCTGCTCGTGTTTTACAAGAATGGGAAGAACCCTGGCCCCCAGTGTCCCAGGTGAACTGTGACTACAGAGATGTCCCTGTGAGAAGTTTCTGCTCTGAAGATAGCCTTAAAGGGATCAGAACCCCCATCCCTGCCACCCCAGTATGGTGGCCCAGGGGTATGGTGGCTGGCTGCAGCCTGGGGGGCCCTGTCACACCCATGACTGAGGGAGTGACCCAGCCCCCGGTCCCCAGACAACCTGGGCTGCATTCAACTGGAAGCACAGGGTGCCTGGAGCTCAGTGGGGCAGGCCGTGCCCAAGGGCCTGCAACTGCCATCTCACTGATCAGGGACAGGTTTTGCTGAAGAGGCAGAGCCCCCACTCCAGCAGGGCTCGGTGCTGCCCACGGACACAGAGTCCCCAGCCTGGTAGGGGTGGCCCATATAAAATGACCTCCTCCCTACAGCCACAGCCCCCGGGGTGGGGCCGAGCTAGCCCTGTGTGGGTTTTTCCCAGGCTGGGCCTGCACTCAGCAATGCCCGCCGCCCCGCCCCTCATCAGGGCCCACTCACCGCAGGGTCCCTAACGCAGCAGGAGAAGGGCACCCCGCAGCGCTCCCGGCTCGGGTTCAAGTCAGTGCAGTTGAAATAGATATTGAGGTTCCAGTCGTTGGGCCCTCGGGCTCCGCAGCAAGACCACTAGAGGAGGAGCGGAGGGGGAAAGACCCAGGTAAGCCAGACCCACCCTGTTTGGGGGCAGACCAAGGCTGTAGAGAGACAGGGCGAGGCTGGGAAGGAGTGCAGAGGCACCTCCCCACGCCCTCCCAGCAGAGAGGCCAGGGCCCAGGGTCATCAGAGCAGCGCTAGGCTCCTGCTCTCGGTGGTGGGAGCAGGAAATAGTGGGAGCCTGTCCCCCTAACCCGAGAGGCTGAAAAAGGAAGGGAGCACGGCCGAGTGGCTCCATTGGTTGAGCGTCGTCCTTTGCATCGAAAGGTTGCCGGTTCAATCCCCAGTCAGGGCACATATGGAAAGCAACCAATAGATGTTTCTCTTTCTTTCTCTTTCTCTCTCTCTCTCTCTCTCTCTCTCTCTCTCTCAACATGTCCTCAGGTGAGTAAGGATTTAGAAAAAAAAAAAACAGGAAGGGATGGGGCAAGGATGTTGGCCCAAGAACTGAGACTTCCTGCAGGACACCCCGAGAATGGGTGCTGGGCCAAGCCCTGTGGGGAGAGGCTCCACTAAATACATCTATGCCAGTCTCCCCATACTCGCCCAGAGATCTTCCTCTCTACAAGGGCAGGAGGGCAACCCTGCCACTCCTAACCCTCCTGTTGCACTTCATAAATGCTGTCGCCAGCACCAGGGCCCCTTCTCCCCTGCCCAGAACATCGTGGGCTGCCTCCCTAGGTGAGTCAATGGCAAGTGTGGGCACAGCCTGGCCTCCGCCCGCCCCCTCTCCTTCTGCCGAGCACCTGCTGCTCCTGCTGGGGAACACTCGCCCCTCTCCTCACATCCCTGAGCCCCCTCTTCCTCCAATGTCACCCCCCAGAGGCCTTCCCCTCCACCCTTCCCCATTTCAACCCTTACCACAATTTATAATTTTATACACGCACACACACACACACACACACACACACACATACACACACACACACACGTTTGTTTGCTTTGCTTATTCATCCTCCATCTCTCCACCCAGATTGCCATCCCCACGAGGACGGGTCCCCACTTTTTTCACCCCGGAATCCCCAGCACCAGCCCAGGGCCTGGCACATGATAATTCCCTGCTGAATGAACAGACAAACCACACCCTAACCGCCTGGCCACCTGTCTGCCTAGCCCTGGGTTGAGAGCACCTCAAAGCAGACACCAGCTCCGGTTCATCGCTGCATCCCAGAGCAGACTATGTGGACAGCACCCAACGAGGATGGCTGTGTAAGTGGGTGTGGCTGGGTATCACTGTGAGCGGGCGGGAACTTGTCGGTGTGAGGTGTCTAGGATTTCGTGAACTGTTCACTCACTACGTCTTCACAGGGGTAGGTGTGCAAGCTTGAGGGCAGGGCTTCTGTATAGAGTCTCAAACTCTAATATGGTCAGAGGCCAAATAAGTAATACAAATGAGAGAAGAGGACCGACAGGCATAATAAAATACAGAGTGTCAGGGACAGTGGCAAATAGAGAGCCCCTGTATCAGCCAAGGGGAGCAACAATGCAGCCCCAGCCGCTACTGCGGGCCCAGGGTTTCCTAGAAGGGGAATCTATATTTTTATTCCTACTGTAAGCGTGGTGTAAGCCTAGTCTAGGAGCTGCCAGTTAGGAGCCTCTGGCCTCTATTCTCCAACCCTGTTTCCCTGCAGGACCAGGCACAGGGGGACGCACAGGGAGCGGGGGTGGTCCCCGCACACAGGGAACTTGCTCCCACTCATCTGCCCAGCAGGTGCCTCCTGCAGGTGGCGGGCCGAGCTGGACGCTGGACTCACATATTCCTGAGCAAAGTCAATGAGGTTCTGGAGGTCAATGTCGTCCCGATAGGCCTTGACGTTGTTGTTGATGAAGAGGTTGAGCTGGTCTCGTATCCAGTCCTTGAAGACGAAGACCAGGATCCCTGTCGCGAGCTCCAGGAAGAAGATGAGGCCAAGGAACACTGAGAACTGGGGGTGGGCACATACAGATGGCGGGGGTCGGAGACGCAGGGCCTGGAGGGTGCCACAGGATCCAACACAGCCCAGAGCCCCCACCTTCCATCCTGTTCGTGCTGCTTTATGATGTGAAGACAGTGCTGGCCTTACCGACCCATCCATTCCGCTTCCTCCGGTAATCACCTGTTTTGTTTTGTTTTGTTTTTGAGGAACCACCCTTCCCACAAACCTTCAGTTTCTGTGGCTGGGCTGCAGCCATCACTTTTCCCCATTCCCAGCTAGAGGACTGCGCATGTGCCAACAGCTCACCAATCAGAGGGTTACCTCCCGAGGCCACAGGGATTGGTCTACACAGCCCAACAGAATCACGGAGATGCAATTAAAGGACTTGACAGAATGGTTGAGAAGAGCCTCCGCCTCCAGTAGGAGTTCCTCGGAGGGCAGCGCGGGCAGCGTGAGGCCGGGACCCACAAATCCTGGGCATCCTTCAACCCCATGGGGGATGGAGCTAACCGAGACGGACAGAGCCAAGAAACAGAGGCCAGGCCAAGCGACACTGTGGTGGTCCCTGGACCCCAACGTGCCAGCAGCCAGCACACCCCTGGGCTGCTCTTAGTGAACCAATAAATACCCTTTTATGCTCGGGCCACTCGTTTTCAGTCATTTTCAACAGTAAGGATCCTATATATGGATAGATAATACGAATCTATTATTATAACGTAATAAAACTACCCATTATTAAGCACAAAAATATATGTAAGAAGTGGGTGGGAGAAAGCTGGGGTCCCCAGTGGGTCTGGGGGAGGGGGCACTCACAAACTTGAGCAGGAAGGTGTTCTCCCGGAGGGCCCCGATGCAGCCAGCGAAACCCAGCACCGACATGATGCCTCCAACCACTACAAACAGCCACACGGGGTCAAGGCCTCCCAGATCTGTCAGCGCCGAGATGTTGGAGAGAACGCCCTGTGTCGGGGGAGCAGAGACAAGTTGGGGTGCTGATCCTCCCATCATTTTGACCTGTAGCAGCCCCACGCCCTACCCCACCTCCTCACCTTCTCACCCCAGGCCCAGAGGCCGATGGCCAGGAACAGGGCTCCCAGCACCTGCAAGAGCAGAAGCCAAGAGCTGAGAGCTGGGCACCAACATCCTGCTCCCCCCAACAGAGCCTCTTCCCCCAGCACCAGGGTCTCCAGGGGGTGAGAAAGGAAGAGGGCAAAGGGCTGTAAATGGGATCCAGGATCCTTCACATCTTCCCAAGAACACATCTTAGTGTTTCTTCCCCCGCAGCACACAGCCTGGAAGATTAAACACGCCTAGCCTAGCAGGGCCCCTTCCTGGAACTCAGAACCGGAACAGGGGGCGATCAGCAGCAGCGTCCTGAGCCTCTGCTCCTGCCCCAGCCCATGCTGGGCTTCAGGGCTCTTGGCCTCTGCCCCGCCCAACTCCAGCCCTCTGGCTGCCGTGCAACTCTGTGACCACCAGCCCACCACCATCGCACCATTTCAACCCCTGTCAGCCAGAGGCCATTTCCTGCCAGGCTCTATTCTCAGAGCTCAAAACCAAAGCCCCTGCACGACCAGGAATCCTGATGCAGAGCAGGACCCAGCTGAGGGGCCCCGGCCCGGGCCAGCGGCTGTATCCTGGAACACAGGTGGCCACAGCTCTGCCTGGGCCTTCTAAACGCCACCAGCCATCCCGCCTCAATTGCTTGCTGGGAAGAGACCTGGATGTCAGGGCCGCTGCCTGACCCTGAGCAGAACCCTGACCATCCATCACCTCCAGCCCAAGCCCAGAGTCATGAGCCTCCCGCCCCAACACCCACCCCACCCCCACTCCTGCTTTCCCTCAGGCTCCTTCCCTAGCTGGTCAACTCCACCTTCAATGCCTTCCCCTCTCTGACCCAGGCTCCTTCTGCTGCTGTACTCTTTCTTTAGAAATGTCTCTCCTTCCCTCCCCCACCCTGGATCTGGGATGTGAAACCAAATCTCACTTCTCCGGCCTCACCCCACTTGACCCACCCACAGCCCGCAGACAGACTAACACCACTGCTTTTCTCCTTCCTGCACCCTCGGTCTTAAGTCCATGCCCGTCTTCC